CCTGAAGCTTCTTTAACCAAAGGGACATAAAGCTGTAATAAAAACCAACAGTTTAGCTTCAATGTTTCACATCCAGACCAGATCCAGACCACTTCCTCCTCTCCTCTGAAACTGGGTCAAATCTTCCCCTTCTGTTTTTATCCAGTCTCCATGTGCGTGCACACACACACACACACACACACACACACACACACACACACACACACACACACACACACACACACACACACACACACACACCACACACACACACACACACACACACACACACACACACACACACACACACACACACACACACACACACACACACACACACACACACACACACACACACACACACACACACACACACACACACACCACACACACACACACACACACACACACACACACACACACACACACACACACACACACACACACACACAGCTCTGCTACGGCGGCTGGTGGTATTTCTAAATCACTAACGTGGAGGGAGTCAGATCGTTTGTTCCCCATTCCTCTCCCATTAGTGAAACACATCTGAAATACATTCACTGATGCAACAGAAGAGTCCGTATCAAAATTGTCTGCAGACACAAATAAGGCTGCAATTAAAATATGCTGAAAACATGTACTGTTTATATCTTTCACTGAAAGTCTGCGGAAAAAGCCTCCAGGTTGAAGCGATAACCGACTGCTGTTCCTCCCTTAGAGAAGCTGAGGAAATACAGTCCGCCATTTCCGTCTGTAGACAAAGGTAAAGTCAAACATATCACGACATAAAGCCCCTAGTGACGCAGACATCCATCAGGCTTCACACTTTTTTAGTAGACTCGACTTCTGCAATAGTGTCTTCACAGGAAGCTGCAGCTGACCCAGAGCGCCGCTGCTCGAGTCCTCACTGACACTAACAGAGTGGATCACATCAGTCCGGTTCTGAAGTCTCTACACTGGCTTCCAGTCGGCCTAAGAATTGATTTTAAAGTACTGCTGCTAGTTTTTAAATCATTACATGGTTTAGGACCAAAGTATATTGTTGAACTCCTGCATAATTACGAGCCATCGAGGTGCCTCAGGTCTTCTGGGACGGGTCTGCCATCGGCTCCGAGAGTAACAACAAAACATGGAGAGGCAGCGTTTAGCTGTTAAGCCCCGACACTCTGGAACAAACTACCAAATCATGCACGTCCGCAGAAACGCTTACTATTTTTACATCGAGACTAAAAACATATCTCTTTGGC